GGTCTCCTAGAGACATGTGGATCTTTTACGTGCCGTAAATCTACGACACGGGACCCACGGCTTAAAGTCCCTCCCGGAGGACTTGTTCCCTGAATTTTTCCGCCCTTAAAAATTCCACGACCTCCGCCGGGTTTCAACCCGTGTACCTTGAGTCATGAGGTGAGAACGTTACCCCTAGACTACAGAGGCCGCTTGTTACGGGATAGTTTTACCTTTCCTTTTACCCAACATTGTTAGGATAAGCCTACTTAAATCAAGGAGTTTACTTTGGTTCGGATTGGGGGCAAAGAAATACGACAATTTAACATTTTTCATGCTATCATGTACCGCTTTTCAAACTTGCCTTTATACCCTGCATCACACCTACGTGTGAAATAACAGTAACGGCATATTATTTGCGGAATTGTTCATAACTCTCGAGAGAAGGATATTTAATATTTCAAGTAAAAATCATAAAAATTACGAACAAGAATTTCATGTTGTCTTGAAAATGGGAGAATGTCTAGCAAGGTTACTGTTTCAGCCAAAGCCTTTCATTTGTCCATAGTCACCCGGATGACGTGGACCTATGGTCAGCAGGAATATCGGAACGTCCCGTGCCAGGGAGCATGGTGGGCCCAACCTTCAACTGTCTCATTGCCCGCACCTTCCGAGACTTACGCCGTGGTGACCGTTTTTGGTATGAGAACTCTGATTGGCCCAGTTCTTTCACGCCCGGTAAGTATATCCATGTTTCCTTAAGGAAGTGTAATGTACTACCTCCATGGAACAGGTCCCTTCCTGAGAAGCTAATAGTCGCTCAGCTATTAAAAAATATATTGCCTTTTATGGGACCCGAAAATTCATTACCATGTTCACAGCAGATAACCACTGGTTACTATCTTGTGCCAGATGAATCCAATACACAATCTCCCAACCTAAGTTCATTTTTTAAAGATAAACTTTAATATTATCCCTTATATGCGCCTTCGATTTGATAGAGGTTGTATCTTTTCCCAGATTTTCCGACTGAAATTTTGTAATCTATTTCTCGTATCTCCAATGCGTGCTATATACCCTGTCAATCTCATTGTCCTTGGTTCGATCGCCTTAATATAGCCTAATCTGAGGAGCCGGAATGGCGCAGTCGGTATAGTGACTGACTACGAGCTGGATGACCGAGGTCTTGTAGTTCGAATCCCGGTAGGGTCAAGAATTTTCTCTTTTCCCCGTCGTCCAGACCGGCTCTGGGGCCTACCCTGCCTCCTATCCAGTGAGTATCGTGGGCCCCTTCCCCGAGGGTAAAGCGGCAGGGGCGTGATGCTGACCACTCACCTCCAAGTAGTGCCGAGGTAAAAAAATGTGGATCTATACATCCACTCCGCCGTACGCCTTCATGGCGTAATGCTTAATTAGTTAAGAACAGGGAGAAATTTATTAGCGTATTTTATGAACAGCGTAAGTTATGACATTTCTCACCGTGTAATTTCCTTCATGCCCGTGTTAATTTCTCCCTCTTAAATCCAAATATTCTCCTCAGGACCCTGTTCTCAAAAACTCTCGATCCCATACTCTTCCCTTATTTGCAGTCTATCCCTAGGCTTGACTGTTAACGCTCAGAATTACTTAAAATGTAATTAGCATTATTGTATACGTATTGTATGCATGGGGGGAATGCGGTAGCGTAGTTGGTTGAGGCACTATGCTACAAGCTGGAAGATCGTGGGTTCTAGTCCCGATGAGGTATTTTTTTCTCAATTGACCTAATCCTTCCAGCCGCACTATGGCCCTGAGGTCGACTCAGCCTCTAACAGAAATGAGTACCAGGAATATTGTTGGAATATTCATGGGGGTAAAGGCCGGCCGGCGCGTTGGGCTGACAACCTTGCCGCCATGTATGAGCCGATTGTCTAGATAATGGGGGAACCTCAACGTCTCACAACCCTATGGGCCTCCACGGCCTGTTACAGGGATGGCTTTACTTTTTTTACTTTATTATTGTATACGTTTTCTCGTTCTATGGATGTAACTTTTGACACTTGTCCTCACTTGCAGAACAATTGCAGGAGATCAGAGAAGTGAGACTGTCCCGGTTGCTGTGCGACGCAAGCGACAACCTGGAGACCATCCAAGTGTACGCGATGGTGCTGCCAGATTTCCATACGTACGTGAACATAATCACTAGGCGGAAACAGTGACCTATGTATAAGTAATATTTCCTCTCTTTGTTTATTAGTCTACTCACGAAACAACTGGATCACATCCCTTAGGAATACTATGGAATAAAGATTCATTTAACTCTGTGGAAAATGGATATTTAAAGGGTAAGATAAACATTGCCGATCACAGCGGCCGCGTGGTCTAAGGCATGAACTATCTTCGCTCGCTTAAACGCTGGGATCGTGGGTTCGAATCCCACTCAAAGGCATAGATGTCTGTGTGTGCCTTTATTATGTGTTTGTGTTGTCCTGTGTGTAGGTAGCAGCCTTGCGGCGGGCTGACCCCCTGTCCAAGGTGTCCTACCGTCTGTGTAGAAAAAAGATTACGAAACTGAAGAAGAGGCCAGGGCCCAACAAATGACTGTAGAGCCACTGATGAATGAATGAAGATATAGAGCATGGAAGTACAGCTATGTTAATTTGTCGTTAAAGAGGCATAGCTCCTTACATTCTTTTCACCCCAACCAATATACCACTATTTAAAAAAACAGTAATTTTTTCTGGAAAACAAGGTTACTTATTGTGTAGATCTCTAATAATACCAGCTTCTAAGTACAATGTCTTCTTGCAGGAATCCCCGCGTTGCATGTAGGAGTCGTGTCTTGCATAGGTTAGACCTCACGAAATGGAGGGACACATCTAGTCAACGCCCGTTGCCTCGAGTGGTGAGTTGAAATGTGTTAGGCAACGTTTTGTACTTGATTCACAATGGAATGAACGCAAACATACTAGTATGCGGGGCTGGTAGCCAGAGATTGCTGGTCTCCTATTGGCTTCCAATTGGTTAAGATTTCTTTAAGGGCGATTCGCGGAATGTGTATGTTTCTTTCTCCAGAATAATGGGCAGTCAGGTAATCACCAAAATATTATATGAGTAATATGCATATAGACAATTGAGGGTTCTACGGTTTTAATTGTCATAAGAGTAGTGATTGGTTGTTGAGTTCATCCCGTATGGAGGCCGGGTCGGATGTCTCCACCCTAGCTCTGCGTGTCGCAGGAAGCGACGAAGAGGGAACCCAGTGAATGCCTGGGGATATAATCGGGCTACCCTCTTCCTGGGGGATATAAATACGGGGACCTGGCCCTCCAGGTTCGGGGAGTCTCGAATCTGAGACAGTAATATGGTCATGAGTCTCGCAGGACTCGGACCCAGAATGACTGCGCTGGTGAGGATCAGCAGCAACTGTAAACGACAGACCCATCCTCTCATTAGAGAGAACGTTACGTAAGGACTATAACCGCAAGTGTTCAGTTGGAAAACAAAATTACTGGTCGTGAGTCTCAAAGGGTTTGTTGGCAAGACGAATTGATTGGCGGTAAACCGCCAGACGTAAAGAAACGCTGACTCTGACTGACTCTAACTCTGACTGTGATTGGTTGGTAGCTAAGGTAAAGTTGCCCCTATGCTTAATTAGTTAAGCACTGCGCCGTGAAGACATATTGGGGAGTTGAGTTATAGCTCCACTCTTGTTGACCTCGGCACTAGATGGAGGTGTTTTAATATATTTTTATTTTATTACCAGAATATTACAGAATACAGTGTTATAATTAATAAATGTCCATCGTTGGAGTTTACAAAACATGTTACATCCCTTCTCCGAAATTACACTTTATCTGATATGTTAATATCTTATCCCCCTTGCATCTTGCGTTCCCATCTTTTCTGACACAGCAATTTTCTACTTGACCGACAGAACATATGTAAATCTTTGTGTCAAGGTCTTACTTCGTCATGCAGGCTGAATCACATGTTCATCCAATTCATTACAATGTTAGATTACTGCTGTTCTGG